TGGGTGGGCCCGTGAGTTTATTTCTACCCACTCAAAATCTGCCAGGTAAGCCACTCTGTAATACCCTGTATAAATATTCTGTGTGTGTAGCATTGCTCCAATGTGTATTTTTTGGAAACGTGGTCAGACACGAAACGCATCATACATGGAACTGTGGTGTTTCGGAAGAGCGATCCCGGGCGTTGGTTTTGAACACCCGGTCTAGTTTTTGAAGCGTGTCATGGTCATGGTTACTATACCAAATAACCAGTACTCAAGGAGTGCGATTTTGATCAGCCCCAGATTGTCGATACAATCATTGAACATGGTGGCATTAGTTTGTCTAAAATTGGGACTGTTTCTGTCCAGGGCCAAAAAGGGAAGGTTAAACCTCAATGATCATCCAGGGATCCTGGCAATTAGCTTTGAGATTGTTGATGTTAGCAAGGAAGTCTGGTTTCAGTGAGTGGTCAGTTGGGGCGTAGGCGAGGGTGATTTTGATTGTGTTAGGAGCGGCAATGCAGGCAAGTGTGGTGGTTAATAGAGTAGTCACGCTGCGTTTGATCAGTAAGGTACTAAGGTTAAAGATTGATGATTGCAAAGCTGAGAGGATGCCGCTAGCAGATCATGGAATTTTTGTGAATGTGAACGTCTTGCGGAGAAATATTACTATGAGCTTGGTTTCCTGGATTTTTGCAGCATTAACTCAGAGAGCACATAGGTAATCCCTCTCCATGATAGTTGTCATGGTTTTAGTTTGAAGCTATAACCATGACACGCATTAGGAATGGAAGGAGGTACTAGCAAAGCACCCAAAATTAGCACAAAAGGATATGATAACTTGCACAACAGTTCCTTATAAGCACACGAAAAGGCAATAGTCTGATCAATTCCAAGGCAGAAGGCCTGACTTATTAACCATAAATGAAACTGGAGCAGAAACATAAAGGGAAACTAATGGACGATAGTAAATAGAGCCAGCACCGTGTTGATAACGGGAGATCAGGTGCGTGGTACTGCTCTGATCGTGCAAGGGTATAATTTTGTTCTCACCAAATATTTTCACTACCATAGATTGAATTGCCACAATGATAAAGCTTGCATAACAGAAGATATAGATCATTGCATTGATATACTTTTGAAGACAGAACAAGTTTCTTCTTGCACACATCAGAAACCACAGTAGAAAACCAAAAGTGCTGCAACAGATTACTAATACAAAGCATAAAAATATATATAGGAATTATATATAGGAATCGATACAGGATCAATCATCAGCATCAGTATCCTCCTGAGAGGCTCGGACAAGAAGGTCCTCAAGTGACAGTTCACCCGACCGGAGCTGCTCAAGAAGTTTATCTTCGTACTCTAACACCTTCGACACTTCATGAGAGTCCTTGTTCAAAGTGTAGGTGGAGAGCAGAAAAATGATGGTCCAAGGATGCGTGTTCAAAAAATTACAGATAAAGGGAGGTAGGTCCTCAAGCAACTGCTCACCGGACAAGATCTGATCAAGAAGATTATGTTCGTGATCCATCTTCTTGATTATGTTCAGGCTGCTCAGACCTTGTGCCCCGTGCTCGAGGTGATATATTTCAGTGCACGGCCAACCCAGGTGAGGCGTGAAGTATATGCAGTTGGCTTCAATGGACGGAAACTCAGTTGCGTTGAGAGAGAGGCACCTAGACCCCCCGCTGATAAAGATTGCACGGCTGCCGATGCTCTTCACTTGCTCAAGCGTATTTCCATCCCTGTTCGTCTTGAAAACCTCCATGCGGCGATTCTCAAGCTTGAAGATGACCAGTGTTTCTCCGACAGATTCCACCATGTAACAACCAGGCCAA